TAAAATAATAAAAGTTATAGTCAAAATAGGAATTACCAGAATAGTGTACGTGAGATCAGCAAAACCCAAAAAAATAATAATTAAAACTAGGTATATATTTAATGAATGAAAAGTTTAATATGAAATGTTCAATTTGTTGAGTGAATTTACAAGAAAACTAAAAAAAATCGGTAAAAAAAAAATTTCTACCAGCCATTCTACTACTTGATACATGTAGTTGCACAGGTACTTTCGTTCTGGGCGCAACAATGCAAGTCTAGGTATTGTTATTAGGTACTACATACATGTATGCTGTACTGCTGGGATGTCAAATTTACGGTCAATGGGCCAAAATGGTTATATTAGCCTTTATAATTATGGTTAATATTTACCAAAAACTATTTAGCACATGTTACCAGTGATTCCAAAGTGGCCCCCTATGGGTTTATGACACTTTCAAGGGTCCACGGCAACGAAAAGAAAACTAACGAGGTCGACTATAGACGATCACAACATATCTTGTCAATATTATTATTATGAAGTCAATGTTTTGGATTAGCATCTTCACTTTAAATGTTAAATACTGAACATTAGTACAAATACAAACGTACAAAAAATCGATATCGGCTAAAATGAGTCCATGTCATTCATGGCGGTATCTATAGAGGTCCACGATACAAACAAGTTTGGGAACCTATGTGCTGAACTAATGTCTGGCGAACTAATCAATCCTTATTCTTTCATCGAATGGGTTTGAATTTTGAAATCGATGCAGCTTTTAGAAAAACGTTTTAGGAAAAACGTCGACTAAAGGTGAACTTTTGAATCAGAATTACTTGAAACGTCGGGAAAACATAAAATTAGAAAATCGGATTTTCTGACAAAAACGAACATCTCCTCGGGAAGTTAAAAAACTACATTAATGTTAATTGCAATTTGCGTATAAAATGTACTTGTAGTTAGTATCAATTACAATTATCGTAAGTTGAACATCATAAAGTAAGAAATTCTATACCCTTACAAAGCAAAGCGAGTACTGTTATTTAAACTTCTCTCATTATTATTGTACACAATTACGTCGTATCATTAAAATATTTTTATCTTACGTGCTGAGTATTACTACCCATCTGCAGTCTAATGACCCAAAATCTGTTAGAAAAAACAACCAGGTCAAATTTTGGGTTTGACACCCTTGAGCAACGTCGAATGTCGGTTGCGCGGCCACGTTGTCAGGTCGACACATCCGCATTTCTGCTCGTTATATTGTTACGTTGCCCTTTACTAAAAAGATATTAAAAGGAAAGATAAATTTATTTATCCTGGGAACCGCCTTGTGCACAACGGAGTTTGCAAATTCAAATAAATATGCGTGTGCGTTTATAGTTTGATAGCACGATCCTTATATATATATAGCTTTTGTAAGTTATGTAACTATAGGAGGCGTTATTATTTTTATACACCGATTGGAATATTGGCGAAATGATTATATACCTAAATCAATAAAAATTGAAAACTACTGAATAATTTATCCAACACCAAACTATGATACCTATCATTGCTATCAAATTTTAATTACCTAGTTTATTTTAATTACTGTGCCTAACTTTATTTCCATTTTTTAATATTATGAATTCATTGATCTCTTGATTACAAGCCATTACGACAGTAACATCTTTTTTTTATTATTATATTTTTAACAGCAATCAGAATCTTACGTCCTATGAGCTGTTGGGCTGAAACTTCTTCTTCGTATTTTTTAGATGGTAACCCAATGGTTAATCCATCCATATTTGATGATTTTTGTTATTAGAATTTATTCAGTAGGGCTGACTTTTTATTGGTGCAGCAATGCCGGACAAGGGCTATTTTCACTTGGAAATATATTGCTATATAAGTAACATCATTTTAATTTTGAATTTTTTTGAAAATTTTAAACAAAATTCAAAGAAATCGCGCTGCGTAGCTGGTTTAGAGACGAAATATAAAAACGCCCATAGAAATGTGAACAAAATTTTTACCTATTATTAAATCTCTATAAATATGTTATCTAAATTGATATGCATATGTCTAATGATCATTTTTGACTGCCATTTTGAACTTTTTTATTGGATAAAACTGCTAGACCTGCCTTACCAAAAATTTAATCAATACAAATCAAAGGTTTCTTGAACCATTCAAATTGAGTGCTCCGTTTTTTTAATGCGATACCCACGATTTCTCAATTTTTACTGGATTTAATTGAAATTTTTACAGAATCTTCCTTATAGATTTCCCTTCAGTATGACTATTGCTCATTCTTTTTTTTTATTAATAATTAGCAATCGGAATATACAAATTCTATGAGCTAATGTGTGATGCTAAATACAAAAAATATAAATAAAATAAAGTAATTAAAATACAAACAATGATAAAGATTCAAAACAAAGGTTATAAATAAATACAAATAATAGGATGCTCCATTGAATAACTATGAATACTGAAGAAAGGTAGACAGATTGATGCTCATTCTTAAATTCCGATTTTAACTATTTTGAAAAAGAATACCAAAAATGTTGTAAAAAAATCTGAAAACATATTTTTTTCAGGCTGTTGCTA